GGTGTTGTCAACAGCACGCTCTCCCAAGTGAGCCATGGGCCGGCCCTGGGCTAAGTTTCTAACACAAAAAACATGGGAGACACAATTCAAGCTTGAGTTTTGGGGGGACATAATTCAATCCACTACATTCCAACCCTGGCCCCCCCAAATTCATGTCCTTTTCACGTGCAAATACGTTAATTTCATCCCCACAGTCTTAACTTATTTCAACTCATGAGTCCAAAGTTCAAAGTCCCACCTGTGAAATTAATACAAGTTATCTACTTCCAAGATACAGTGGTGGGACAAACATAGGGTACATATTCCCATTCCAAAAGGGAGAAATAGGCCAAAAGAAAGGGATATCAGGTCCTAAGCAAGTCCAAAATCCAGCAGAGTGGGCATTAAATCTCAAAGGTGGTGAATTATGTACCTTGGGTCCATGTTCCTGGTCCTCTGCATGCTGGTGTAGGTGCTGGCTTCCCACATCCTCAGGTAGCTTGTCTCCTATGGCTTTCCTGGTTGCAGGCCACACCTTCAGTTCTCCCAGGCTGTCGTTCCAGTCTGTAGCTCTATGGGTCTGGGGTCTCCTTGGCGGCCCTGCTCTCATGGCTCCACTAGGCAGTGCTAATGGGGTTTCTCTGCTGCAACTCCAACCCCATGTTTCCACTTGGCATTGCTCTAGTGAAGGTTGTCTCTGGTGACTCTGCCCCTGTGACAGATCTCTTCCTGGGCCCCCACAATTTTCCATACACCCTTTGGAATTTGGGTGGAGGCTCCCAAGCCTTCCCAGCTCTGGCATTCTGTGAGCTTGCAGACCTAACACCACATGGACTCCACCAAGGCTTCTGGCTTTTATTTTCCAAAGCTGGGGGTCCAGCCACACCTGGGGCCAATTTAGGCACAGCTGGAGCAAAGTAGGCTAGGCAAAAGAGGGCCCTTAGTGCCAGGCCTGCCCCAAGTGCTTCCTTGGACTTACTTAGTGCCAGGCCTGTGGGTTCAGCTACACCTGGGGATAATTTAGCCATTAGTGCCAAGTACACTAGGCCAGGGGGACCCTTAATGCCAGGAAAAGCCAGGGTAACCCTGAGGCAGGCCTGGCCAGTGGGTCTCTTGTGTAGGCCTGGTCAGGCCTGCCCTAAGGGGTACTGAAGCCCTTAGCAGCAGGCCTGGCCAGGGAAGCCATTAGTGGCAGGCCAGGGAGTCTCTTAGAGGCAGGCCAGTTCAGGCCAGGGTGGCCATAGGGGGATTCTAGTTTTCTTTATTTCTTTCATGCCCAAGGGGAGCCAAGCAAGTCCAAGGAAGCTCTTGGGGCAGATCTGGCAGGTCCTTAGCAGAAGGGGGGCCCTAGGCAGCAGGGCAGCCATGAATAGTAGATCTGGCCATGAGGCTCTTAGCACCAACTGCTAAAGCCCCTAATGGCAGAATTTCATTCTTTTTTATGGCTGAATAGTATTCCATGGTGTATATACCACATTTAGGGAAGAAAAGGAAGAAAGAGAGAGAGAGAGAAAGAAGGAAGGAAGGAAGGAAGGAAGGAAGGAAGGAAGGAAGGAAGGAAGGAAGGAAGGAAGGAAAAGAAAGAAAGAAAGAAAGAAAAAGAGTCCCCCTAGGTCCCCCCTGGCCTGGCTAGCATGCCTCTAAGAGACCCCTTTGCCTGGTCCTGCCTGCTGTGCCACCAAGGGTGCCCCTGGCATTTTGTAGCCTCCCACTAATGGCTGCCCTTTCCAGGCCTGCTGCTAAAGGTGCCCCTGCCACTAAGAGTGGGCCTGGCCAGGCCTACACAAGAGACCACACTGGGCCTGCCTCAGAGTTCCCTTGGCCTGTCCTGGCACTAAGGGCCCCGCTGGCCTAGTCTACTTGGTGCTAAGGGCCTCCATGGCCAGATCTACTATTCAGGGCCCCCCTGCCGCTAAGGGCCACCATCTGCTAAGAGCCTGCCAGGCCTGCTGCAAGTGCTTCCTTGTCCTGGCCTGGCAGGCCTGCCCTACATGCTTCCTTGGCCTGCCCTGACACTAAGGGGCCCCCTGCCCTGGGCTGACCCTAAGGCCCCATGGCCTAGCCTGCCCAAGGGATCAATTGTACTGTTCTCTTCCTACAGGCCCCCGAGGCTGGACTACTGGTGAGGGCATCCTGCTGCTTTCTTTTCTTTTTTTCCTTTTTTTCTTGTTTTCTTATTTTTTTATTTTTTTGGTATTTTTCAGCCCTTTGTTTTTTGTTTTCTTTTCTCCTATTTTTTTTGTTTGTTTTGTTCTCTTTTTTTCCGATTTTCTTCTTTTTGTTATTTTCTTCTTTTCATTGGGGTTTTCTTCTTTTCAGGGGGATTTCTTTTCTAGGATTTTTTTATTTTGGGAGGAGTTCTTTTCAGTGGGATTTTCTTTTTGTTAGGGTTTCTTCTTACACGGAGGGTTTTCTTTTGGTTGGAGTTTTGTTCTTTTCATGGGAGTTTTCTTCTTGGAGAGTTTTGGTTTTCTTTTTCTTGGATTTCTTTTTGTTGGGGTTTTCTTCTTTGGGGGAGTTTTCTTCTTTTCATGGGCAAGATCCCNTCCTGTAGCCCCTCTGTGCCCACTTCTCAAGGTCTCACTTCCCCATCGTCCCTCCTCTCCCAAGCAGCTCTTATCCTGCATCTTTTGTTTTTTTGTTTTTTGGTGGTGGCCAGTAGAGGGATTGAGCCCTGGGCCTTGCTGTTGTCAACATCATCCTGTGCTTCCTGCAGCAGGATCCAATGAGACAGCCAAGCTCGTGGCCCATCTGTGTGCACAGCTTCAAGGGAGAAGCTCAGAGAAGAGTCCTATGTCATATCCCGAGCAGAGGGAGACGTAGTAGGATTCAAGCCCAGACTTCTTACCCAGTCCCTGACACTTCTTCCACGGTTGTTACCATTACCGCCGACTGCTCCTTCAGCCCCCTGTTCCCAGGAGCCTGACCAGCCAACACTCACCTCCTGAGNACCAGCCAACGCTCACCTCCTGAGGTGACTGGCACCTCCCACAAGTGCTGGGCTGGGGCCTGCTGGCCGTTTTGATGGTTTTTTCCTCAGCAGTTCCAGCTAGGCGCTGTTTCCTTTGGAAATCTCTTAACTGTGAAAAGGAAAAGCAGTAATATTCAGGAGATGTGGAAGCCCCTATGTTTGTCACCTACTTTACAGTTTTTACAAAGTATTTCTTACTCGTACCGTCTGATTTCATGCCACTAGCAACCCTAGAAGGTGTTGTCATGATCACCCAATGGCTGAAGAAATGGACCGACAGCATGNGCACCCCATTCTCCCTTGGCTCCAGGGGCCCCCAGCCCCTTTCTTCAGAGCCCCAAGGGGACATTGGAGCCCAGGATTGGCAGAATGGAATCAGGGGACCCCACAGGACTCTTACTAATCCCTGCATCACACTCCTCAGGTGTTTATTGTGGACAAAGACGGAGTCCCGGGCTCCTGCCAGGTCTAGGCACCGGTCCTGAGGCGCATGAGGAGAGGAGGGGGTGGAGGAGGGTTGGGGAGAGAGAGAGCAATCATTAGGGGTGGGGGTGGGTGCTCAGGTGGCAGCGGGGCACCCAGCCCCCAGCATGGGAGGTGGTCGGGGGACTGGCCTGCAGAGCACTTACCTCCAGCTCCCTCACATAAGCTGCTGATGTGAGGTCCTCCCCATCGGTGTATGATGTGGGCCAGGAGAGATGAGAGCGCTCATGGAGATGCTCTGTCCCCCTCCATGACTCAGCCCTCTGACGTCCTTTCTTCCCCGTCAACTGGCAAAAGTCTCTTTCCTGCCTCACCTGGACCAGGCCCTCCTCCTGTAGCCCCTCTGTGCCCACTTCTCAAGGTCTCTCTCCCCCATCATCCCTCCCTCCCGAGCAGCTCTTATGCCATAGGTTTTTTTGTTTGTTTGTCTTGTTGGGGTCTTTGGTGGTGACCAGTAGAGGGATTGAGCCCTGGGCCTTGGTGTTATCAACATCATCCAGTGCTTTCTGCAGCAGGACCCAATGGGGTAGTCAAGCTCATGGTCCATCCTTCATGTGTACAGCATCAAGGGAGAAGCTCAGAGAAGAGNCCATGTGTGGTTGACTCGGAGCTGCCAGATTTTAGTTTGTTATTTGCTCTGGGACCAGCAGTGCTGTTCCTTTCTTGGTACTCCCTTAACTGTGAAAAGGAAAAGCGGTAATATTCAGAGCTCTATAAGCCCCTATATTCTCATCTTACTTTACAGTGTTTACAAAATATTCTTATTTCTACCATCTCGGACAACCCAAGCATCATCTCAGAGAGAAGTCCATTAAGATCTTACAAATCTCACCCCTAAGATTAGGTGAATGTCATCCCTAAGTACATTAATAGGCTTTCTCTCTCTCTCAAAAGAATCAAGCAAATCTGATTCTTCAGAAAGATGCCCTTGTGAATCCTGTGGCACCCCAGATTGAGATGATGTGGGCAAGATTCAAGCTGTGAAGCTCAGTTGCCCAGGACCTGTTCCACAGGAGATAAGCACATCTCCCTCCAGAGAGCACAGACTGAAAGGCGCTCTGATCCCAGAATCCTAGAGAATTGGAAGGTCAGATACAGACTCAGAAATAAATCGTAAAGTATGTCTAGAGAGTCGAAACCTGTGAGAAAACCAAACCCGTTCTCCCAATTGTCACCCAGACAAATTGTCAACACTTTGAGTTCACTGGTGCAATGTAGGCTTTTCAGGTCGTCAATGTCTAAGTGAAGGGAGTAGGGAGCCAGAAACCTCTCGGTCCTGGGCCCCCTAGTCCCCAGTAGCCTTCCAGGTGGAAATTTGTGCCACAACCAGAGAAGCCAGAAAGGGGGTGAAAACACTTAGAGGCCAGGGCCAATCCAGGGTGGGGAGCCCCAGGAGTCACCCTACCAGCCCAAAGTCACCCAGGAGCACCTAGCAAGGGCAGAGGCTGGGCTGCTCAGGGGGCAGGGATAGCTGAGAAGACTTTGGTGGGGGGAGTCAAGAGGCACAGAGGGGCACCTCCTATGTGCCTCAGAAGTGACACAGACTCTGGCCACTGTCTCACCATAGGAGGGGCTTCGGGCTGTGCCCGGGGCCATGACCCAGCATGTTATACCTTCTTCTTGGCCCTAGCCAACTTCTCCTGTCGGACTTCCTCTGGCATTTCTGGGCAGGGAAAAGGAAAGGGGTACCGCCGCCTCGTCGCCATCAGAGCACTGGACATCACTCCGTCCAGCTAAGGCGCCGATGGGCAACTGAGCCAGAGCAGCTGGGAGCGGCCGGTGCTAGGCAACAGGGAAGTGGGCGTGGCCTGAATGCTCACAGCCCATTGGTGGATGAGAAAGATGGAAGGAATGGGGGCGTGGCCAGAACCCAGGGAAGGGTGGAGTCACAATGAAAGCCGGCCCCGCCCACTCCTGCCGGGGCCCCCTGGGGAAAGGGGCGGGGCCCTCACTTGGTGCCCATGCAGCTTCTGTGTGACCCTTCACGGTGGCCATCACAGAATCTGAGGCACATGGCAGGTCAGAGAGGCCATCCTCCAGCCCCCGCCCTGGACCCTCCTGTGCCAGTTCGCCCCTGACCTGTCTGTTACCCAGCCTGAGCAGGTGGCTCTGAAGGAGGTGGAGGCCTTGTGGGGGCAGGAGACCTTGGCCATGTGGCCCCAGAGAGGCCAGGACACAGCCTCACCCTCCTGCAGATCTGGCTGCTGTGTTTCTGCTTGGTGTCGCAGAGGTGTCCCATGCAGACCTCAACCCTGCCACCCACACCACATCCCTGTTCATGTCAGTAACCAGACATCAAAGGCCCCAGTCACCCAAGCTTGGACCCTCTAACCCCTCCCTCTTCCCCACCTCTCTCCATCCCTTCACCAAGGCCTTGGGGGTTCTCTCCAAGCCCGCCCTCTCCATGCTCCCCACAGCCAGAGTCCTCTTGTAAAGCACGGTGAGGCCTGGCTCTTCCCATGTCCCCAAATCCCAAACCAGGGCCTAGCCCTGAGAAGGTGCTCGGGGCCAGCACTGTGGGAATGAATGAGCACGGACAGAGTGCAGTGTGGCCCTGAGCTGCTGTCCCCTGCTCTTTGTCTCTCTCCCGAAGAAACCCTCTTGCAGGACAGTTATAGCTTTGGACAGTTGA